TGGAAGTCATGCTACTTTCAGGGTACAGCTTCCAGAATTTTTCTCCATCTACGTAGCAATTTTGTCAGCTTCCAAACTGCAGTTTTGTTTCAGAAGAGCAATCATTGGGTTAGTGTTCATCACCTCTGACCAACCATATGAGAGTCAGTCTGTGTTGCAGGATCCTGTTCTCACTGATGTCTTTTTAATGTAGTAAATAATGAGCAGGTGAGCTTGGAGATGAAGGTGTTCACAGAACAGCTATAGCACAGGCTGAATCTGAACTGATTCAGCATGGACCCATCAACCTAATAACTACCACAGACATTAAAAATCCTTGGCTTGTCACTGTACTACTGTATAAGCAGTTGTAACGTCAAGTAGATCTGCTGGCAGATGTCAGTATGCTTTGGTTTGGCTCTCGGGTTTATTGCCAGTGAAACCCCCCAGAATTCCTTTTACATACTCAGAAGGAAATCCTCATATTCATTGTCATCTCCAAATGCCCTGTTTCAGTAATCTGAAATTTGAAGTCTTACAGCAACACCAAAGGAATGTTATTTCACAAATATCTTAAATAAAATGCAAACAATTAACCTCAGTCAGAACTGAGCCTCTGGAGACTGCGTACATCTGTATGAACAGGTGGTATGCAACTGAGAAAGTCTGCAGCTTGATCACTAATGTTTCCTCTTTGGTTCAAGAGAGAGAAGGCCAGTGATTCCCTATAAGGATCTACAGTAAAGTGTATTAGCAGCAAACGTAAGGGGGAAAAAAAAAGTCACAACAATTCTGACACTAATGTTGGGACATCTTCCTGTCGTAAATTCCAGATTCTGTTCCATCTTCCCCTAAATACACTAAGAATATGTATTTAGGAAGTGTTACTATGTAGAAGGTATTATGGTGTCTCTGTAAGAACAGTTTTTGAGATGAAACCCCCGTGATTGATTCAGGACATGTCTGTTCTCAGTCAGGAGGACGTAGAGGACACATTTATTCCAGTTAGTTGTTGATACTATGCATGTCTGTTAATGACCAGGGTGAGGTGAAACACACACCTCAGTGGATGAACGCATGTCACAATGCAATGGATGACCTTAAGGTGGTTTCTGGTCAGCTAAAGCTGACCTACAGCAGACATTTCAGCCCCCCTCCCACACAGGTACCGGTACTCGTGCAATGGTGCTAATTCAGTGCAACAATGCCAATCCTGACCTAGCCAAAACGCACCCTTTAAGGGGTTTGCATTCAGCTGACCCAGCTCTGCATGGCTGAGGACTGCACGGCCACCAGAACACGGCTAGTACCAAACTGGGACCCTAACAGCACTGATGCAGATCAGCTTATGCTGTTGCAGAGCTTCACGCAGAGGGTAGGTAACCCTCACACAGGGCAGCAGTTGCTAACCAAGCCGTCCTGCACAGGAGAAGACACTTACTTTACGCAAGCAGTATTTGCACTTTCAAGGAGATGTGGCAGTTCTCTGACTTACAGAATTGTAAAAACGATCTTCTGACAAATTAGAAGTAAATGAGTTTGAGGAGTGAGAGAAGTCAATCCAACCTCTGCTTTCCCTGGAAAGGGACTCTGGAAAGCAGGTGATGTATAGGAGCTGGCATGTTCCATCAGAAAAGGGGTCAGAAAAAAACCAGCAGGGAACATGCTTGAATGCTAAGAGTCCTGAGAGAGGTTGTCATGGGACACTGCAAAAGCTCAGAACTGCAAGCACTATACAAAAAGAGCTGCATGGTTCAGCTCAGTTTCAGAGGATTTTTCAGTGTACAAGACAAATGTGACAAAACCATGATATTAATGGCATTTAATGTTTTTACGGGAGAAAGGTTTGCATTAACTGCAATAAACAAACATGTTTACCATACACACTCTTACAAATAATAACTTAGAACACTTTTCCTACAATATATTCTATTTTTCTTGCTTTGTAACTTAGGATATGTTTTACAGAAATCTCTGTACAAAATTCAGTTTTGTCCTATCATTGCCTGTAAGAATTTCTAGTTATCATCAATTTTTGTTTAAAAAATTCATGCATTTCCATAAGCTAACCATTCCGGTGACATGAAATCCTGTCAGAAGCAGCAGAAGCAGCAAATTTAAGAGTGTGAAAGAGCCACACAATATCCCACTGTTTGTTTCCTTACTCTTCCAAACAAAATCTTAATATATGTTGCTTTAACAAATCTCTTGCATTCTATGCGATCAAATAAATTCTAATGAGCGTGTGGAAGTATTAGGGCTATGTGTGTCTGGCAAACAGTAAAGGTACCATTTAGCTCCATTTATTGGTGGTAGACATCGTGCAACACTGTTACAAGGTCAGCCTCACAAATTTTTAAGGTACTTTGCAAGTCTTGCTTAATTTCTTTGAAGTACAGAGTTTATGAATTTCAGTGTAGATGAAAAGCTTGAGCAAAAAAACCCCAACAAACCAAAAACCAAACACCACAACCTGAAACTGCAAGAGCAAAAAACAAGTTTTAATTCAAATCACATTGAGAGGCTACAAAAATAGCCTGTAAAGACTGAAATAACGGACCTAACCCCTGCTGGACCACCACTGACGTTAACAGATTTACTGCAAGAATGATTTTGACAAAACGCAGTTAATTAATTTTCTTTCGTTATAGGCCTCACACATTAATTCCATAATTGTACTGCTGAGTTTTCTAGTCAGCAACAGTGACTTAAAAAAACAAAAAAAAGCAACTTCAGCTTGTGCAATTACATTCTTCATCGTTTCTGTCGAATGCAGAGCCATTTTCTTGGTACTCGATATGAATATTTTTCCTCAAAAATGTCTTTATAGGGGATATGCCATGTATCACCTGTAGTCTGTACCACACAGTCATAACGGAAAGCAGGCTGTTGGATAAAGACAGATAAAACCATTTTTTTAGATTTTACACAATACAGGACTAAAATATCAGTTACAGGTAGCTATAACTTCTAACACTTACCTTAGAAATCTCCATAGATTCAACTCTCATTTATTTCCTTATACCAAACAAATTCTAAATTTTAGTACTGGAGGAAAAAACTAAAACATCTTTTAGTATTTTGTGGTCTAGGAGTCATCATAAATGGTTAAAAATCTGTTTTCAATCTCCACCAGATAATAATGATTTGAACATAATGCACTCAATTTCTAGAAATAGCAAAATAATGTTTTTTCTGTTCAGTTAAATGAAATCATATGAGAATTAACACAGGATGTGGTGTTTATAGGCTTGGACTGACAGGATTTAATGACATGAATGACATCTTGCGTTTGTTCTTCCAGTATACCTCTTTACAGAACTAACTTGCTCTGTGCTGAGCAGGATGTAAGAAAAAGGTTTATCACCAACACTTTCAAGAGTGTCTAGTCGAACAAATATAATAAACTATTTTTCTGGTCTACTATGTTACAGGTACACTAACTCAACACATATAACACAAATACAAAAGAAACATTGCTGGCTGGCAACTGTGGTTCTCAGAACATACTATCGCTCTGTATGTATAGTCTGGGAAGTCGACTATCCCATGACCGCTTTCCACAATAACCCAGAAGACAGCTATAACAGGGAATGTCAATCATCCAAATCACTTGTATGGGAATTAATACGTGCAAATTACTTTTGTACAAAAGAAAGAAAAAAGGTGTAGCTAAAGCTGTGTCACACATGTAACCCTACATTCAGTATTTGGTTCCATAAAAAAATGTATATATAGCAACACTGAACGAAAGGCTGTTGTTCTTACAAGCCTGTATCTCTGTAATGTAATGATGAATATTATTCTACAATTTTAACCAAAGCAGCAAGAAAATGAATCTGCATAGGTGCATTATTCCTTTAAGTAGGCAATAACAATGCAGACTGACCAGACAGCAAACAACTGCATGATACGGAATGTCACGTGACAAATTTTTCCCTAGAAAAATCTTAAACAGCTGCACTCCTGTTAATGTACTGTTCATGGCTCACAAGGTTGCACGTCTCCTAGATAGTAACTGTAGTATTCTGCTATAAGATGCTTGGAAGACTGTAAATTCTGCAGCTGAATACTGACTATAAACCTGACTGTCCTGGGCTTTCCTTCATGAAACCTTATACATATGTTAGGCTAACATTACAGTGAATATTGAAATACCTGTATTCTCCTGCTTCTTTAAAATAAAGATGAAAGAAATCCTATTGTACAATTAGAAGCATGATATTTTATAACAGTGCTACAGAGGAGAATAAGGTATTTCAAAGTTTAAAATGAAATAAAACATATTGGCACGTAGGTTTTACAGCAAAATTTGGAAAAATTCGTATACACAAACTTGTATTTACATTTTAAACATTTAGGCAGCATTTCTTGTCTTTTTAACAGTTTTCATGTTTGTGGCGTGCTTTATGAATACAGTGAACTTTCAGTTAAACATGGGAGTTTTGAGCCCATTGGTAGGAATCCATATCTTAGACTCCAACAAGAATCCTTTTGCTTCCAGAGTTTGAAATTGTGTATCTTTAAGGAATATGCTCTGTGTGCTTTCTGATTGCTGCAGAAAACTTACCAAGAAATTTATATGCTTTCCTTCTACAGAAGGGGAAAACACCATTTGGTGTCCACGCTGCCACTTACGGAACAGATGACGCGTCAGACTGTCGGAAAGACAAGCCTTGTGATCCCGGAGGAAGTCTCTAGTAACAAACTTGCAATGCTTGCCTGATCGAAGAGTGGCATATAACAAGAACGCATCATCTTCAGAGCTTAACAAAACAAATGGAAAATACAGACGTCATTCACAAAGCAGTAAGTGGCTGCAGGAAATGAATCAAATGCTGATCTAGGATTTATTCATCAGCAACACTGAAAATTCCCATCACTAGTCTAGTTCCCTGGTAAAAATAAAGAACTGCTTACCACAGGACACCAAAAGTTAGAGTGCAATAAAAATTAATTGCATACAACACAGAACATTCTTCCCTCTTACCACAATCAGATAACGCTACAACCTTTTGCCACAAAACTTAACAATACAGTGCTATGTAGAACTGAACTGCTAAAACTCCTAAGCATACCCCCAAAGCTTTGCCGGAATACAAACAATCATCACAACTGATAAAGTGTAAGGTAGGCAACAGCACAAACCTGTGAGTCTTTGTCTTTACATGGGTTAATATACTTCCAAAAAGTACTATGATTATTTGAAAAATATTCAACACTAGCTGCTATTAAACTGAAAGAGTTTTAGGGAAAAAACTAGTAAGTGACAAGACATGAGACCAGTGAGGATCTCCATCCTGGGGTAACAGTGTCCCCTTTGTTGGTGCTCAGATAGCAGGAAAGAAAGCAATGTGATTCAACGGCAAAGAGAACAAGAGCCAGAACTCGTGAGGGGATGAAGGAGAAGAGATCTGAAACAAGGAGACAGACAGAAGAGACTTGATCTGGCTGTTGTGGGACAAGGAACTTTGTCACAAGCTGGGAACTAGGATCACAGAAGAAATGGCAGAGATAGGTGAAGGATTAACAGTGCCCAACTCAGATGGAGACTAGGTGGAGCACGAACCGAAGGAAAACTGAGACTCATTATATGATGAAAGCAGGGCAAGGAGAGAGGACACTGAGGCAGAGGCAAGTACCTAGTTTAGAGACAAGGACAGGCTTGACTGGACAAGATCAAGGGCGTCGCAGTTCTTAAATTAGAGAGGCAGAGGGTCATTTCCACTCACAGAAATGGTCCCTTCTGGGAGCAGCAAGGAAGCCAGTGTTCCCAACTCTCCATGCTCCTGGGTTACCAAGCGACAACAGCCAGGCATGAACTTCATCTCCTCCCTTTGCAGGGCTAACACAGCAGCACAGCTGGACACTGATGCTGTCAGGTATTCTGTAAGTTCAGGCCACTGTGGTCTTGGCAGTGGTTTTAACAGTTATAAATCCTAATAAACCACACAGATGTCAACATGATTCTAAGTGATCAAATTCTTCATAATGCAACTTTTAATATTTTTTGAAGCAAGTATAGCAAGGGCTATGTTTCTCTTTCACACTCACAGAGCTAGAGGTACTAGTAATGGTACTAAAATCTACAGCAAAATACACATAAATCAGGTGTTGATCTCCATTACATTTAGCCATTTTCTTCAACTTACATATTTTCAGCGAAGAAGAAGTCTGCCTTATTCTGCATCTCCTTCATAATCTCTCTTTTCCAATTCGAAGAGTTAATCAGCATGTGTTTGCGGCCCAGCACAAGCAACCGGACATTCTCTTTTGCCAAGCAGTTGATAGCATCAAATAGCTGCAGAAAACAAAGGAAAACTAAAGATCATCTTACTGTAAAAACAGACTGACAGGAAACACTTTCACATGTGTGTCTCAGCTGGTGGGATTTCTAGCATACCCTCATTTCCCACAGTTCTTAACTGCAATACAAATTAAGTAGATAACTAATTTAACTCCCTAATGACAAAGAAAAAAACCACACCAAACCAATTCATTGTAGGAAGCTGCTGTCAACCCCACAGAAAATACACAGCTCTTACAAACCTTTCTCAGCTCTGGCAACTTGAATGACATGAATGAACTCAGGAAGAGTTGTATGGAGATTTCAGAAATTCAGATTCAGCTGAGGGAACTGAATCACCTTGGGATTTAAGTAGTATCTACTTTTTGAAATGATTCAGCACTGAAGCCTTTGTTGGTATTTAGAGGAGGACCAAGCCCTACACCATACAGCTTCTCCAGCCCCACCTATTGTCGAAATTGGACAACTACATGTGATCTGGGCTGCCCTGTGGGGAAGAAGCAAGCAGCAGTAAAAGGAAATCCGTGACCTCAGGATTAAGGGTTTATGAAAGCCACATCCAGACTAGCCTCCCACTTATGAACCAACATTCTGAGGTGGCAAATTCACTGCTGGGCCAGCTTCTCTTCAAAGGGACTTTTCACCAGCCTCTTAGGGCTGTGCCTGTTCCACAAGAAATGCTTCTCAGGACAGGCACTTGTGCCTCTGGCTTTCCCTCCCTGCTTCACTCAGACAGCTCATGGAGGGCAAAGGTTCTGGCTTTCAGCATCCAGGTTATTACTGTGGACTGCTCACAAAGCAACAGCATTTCAATTCTGCCCAGAAAGACAGAAGAACTGTTTCTTGAGACTGAAGCATCACGTTTGAAGGCTGAGGACAGTATGCTCAACCACCAGGGGAAGGAGTTTCCTAAACCTGCATTTGCTGACACTATTTGTCAATATACAATCCCCTGATTTTTCTCTAATCCCTTTTTCTGCTTTTCTCGCTACCTCCCTCTTCCCTGCTATCTCTTCTCCCTGCAATACCTCCAATTGCCTTTCTCCTTCTCTTGCT